ATTTGTGCACATAAGTATACTTTAACAATGATTCATGCATTTAGTGTATTTCTTTTAACAAAACACCAGTTTTCAATGAAGTAGCTCTGTACACATTTGGACCACTTGGCATCTATGATTTTTGTTCTTAGTTTTTTTCTTTGGCAACCACAAGATTTACAGAAGAACTGCAAATACTCCTAATATTTCTTGCACCATTTTATATTTTTATAGAGATGAAATTAAACTATTTTACTGTAAATTCTGGAATTTTATTTTGTTTGTATAATGATATCAATCAGCACATTATTTGTGAAAAAGCATACAGTACTTCAATATGAATGATGGGGCAAAGATACAGTATTTGCCAAAACTACAGTTTTTGTGTAGGGAGTACAGTTCCATAGACACTGAGAGAAACAAATATCTCACTGATGTTATCTGTGCTTTGCTTTACCTGCAATTTTCTTATTTCAATTCCACTTTGGAAAGGAAAGGTTTATACCTTAAAGAAGACACAGTTGTTGTCACAGGACATCTGTTGAGACCACGTGAGTCAGATCGAATTCCCAGGTCCAGCTCCGCTTGAGTCGTCCAGGTTGTTTTTCCATTGATATTAGAAACCCAGCAGCAGCCAGAGTTGCTGAGTAAAGGGAGGTGGAAGTAATATCACTCATAAATATGTATATTCAGGCCCACTGCCATCTGGGAGCCAACAAATTTGAAGCCAAGAACACTTTCTTTCTGGTAGAGCCATCATCATTTACTGAATCTGGACTCTGCATCTACATACTGACATTCACCACATTCACCAACAGATAATAATATTTCTTATATAATATTATAATATTTACATTACCAGGTTGAGCTTCAGTTCAGTACTGATATAGACATAAAACAAAACAGATAAAAGATAGAAGAAAATGACAGGAAGCATAAAACAAATCTGAGACTAAAAAGTGGCTTTTAGATTAGAAGTGCTGAAGTCTAACAGCTATTTCAGCTCATTGATAAAACATTAAGTTTTTCTGAAAACAGAAGCTACAGTTTTGAAATTCTACACACAAATGGTATGTTCTAATATGAAAAATATGAGGAAGTTCTGTTATGGCGGCAGTATCACCACATGTGCATTTGCTAACTGCATTTACTGATTTCAGTGCCTTGCTATTTGAATCATGTGGTGAGTTTCTAGGAAAAGCACAGGCAGTACTAATAACATTAACACTGACTTCCTTCTATTCAAGTGTGCCAGTAACAGCACAACAATGAGCCAGCGTGAATAATACCAGGAGCCTGAAACAGCTAAATGGAGTTTAATCATCATTACTGAAAACCAGCAGCTTAGGTGCATTCACCTGAAACCTTAGGTAAGGACAGAAGTATTAGGTGAAAGGCAAATTGTTTTTAGTTAGCAAGGACTTAGACTCAAATTGCCTCCAGTTCACAAACACTGGGAGACCCTGCAAGGTGATGATTTGACAATCAGGAGAAATGTATTCATTAAATGGTTCAGTTATATTTTTGCTATAAATGTTAGCTCCTAGTTCTTTGTCTATTGGTCTAAATGTTGTATCAGACCATCCTCTACACCTTAAGGTATCCTATGTAATTCTGGTGGAAAGTACAGAGAAACATTTTAGCCTATAAACAGTCACATCTGAAGATAAAAAATGAAAAGTGGACTTATAAATCTAACATGTGGAATATCAAATGCCATCAAACTCTCCAAAAGGGGTGTGCAGAGAGCCTTGTAATGTATTTGTATCTGTATTTGTTTAGACAGAAAATTTATTTGTATTTGTGTTTGCATGTAACAGTCCTGTTTTTATTTTTATAACACTGCCAATTTTAGGATATGAAAGTGTTAATATAATAAGTGTTACTATAGGGCTAACTTACAGGGCTAACAGGTGAACACTAGCCTCATTTCATCCTGGCCAAACAAACACATATTAAGACTGAAAACAAAACCATAGTCGAAAAAAAAACTGTAACTGAAAAATCAGACATTGGCAGTGAAGCATTTGTATTGGAAAAAAATGTAAACATGTAAAAACAGAGGAAATGTCACTCTGTATTGTAACGCCTCCCTTAACTGTCAAATCAATTACAGTTTTGTCTTTTTCAGTTACTGTTTTGTTTTCAGTGCCAAGCTTTATATTTCAATGCCAAAGACTAAAGTCATCAATATGGTGCCATGTTGCATCTGTCTTCTAACTCTAAATAGTGGTATAGCAACAGCCCTCTGTTTCTCCAGTGTTATATATGCAGCTACGTGACAGGCTGTCTGAGCAGTGAGCACAGTGTGCTGGTAAACTACAGAAACTACACTGCCAGAGCTAACGCAGGATAATCTCCTTGCTCCTTGTGCTCAAACAAATGCAGCTTCACATTTTGCAGGTCCAACAGGAAAACTGAAGACAACTACTTCAGCAAACCAGTCAAGGTAAAAAATAACTAATCAAAACAAAATACTGGCTAATGCCTATATTTTTATCGGGCTTAGCTGCTCCTTTTCAGTCTGTGCTCTCTCTCTCCCCTTCACTCTCCTATTGTCTTATCTAAGTCAGCACACACAAGCAGAACACTAGCTATTTGACCTGTTTTTTTTTCTTCCTAAAAACAAATAATTGAAATAATATTTGTAGGAAATAAATATTTGAAAATTCCCACAATGTGTGCTTTTACTAAATTGGTATGCAGCTAAGTACCCCCCATGGCATCAAAATTATTTAAGTGTGAGAGCTACAGTCTGAATTGCAGAAATTTTCTTTAGTGTACTTTTTATTTGATTTTTATTTTTCTGTATTATTGTGGAGCAGCTGGACCTAATTGTGTATTACTTTAGAAGGGCCTTACTCCACAAGTGACTGCCAGCAAAGTTGTGTTTTTTGCTTTGTGTCTTGTCTGTTTGAAGTAAAAATGATCCTTTTTTGAAACTCAGTCCAATAATGCGTCACCACACCTGCAGAGCTTCCCTGCATTCAGGGTACACCCGCAGATGAGTTGCTCAAAATACCACAAATTTTCACAGGCCTGATGCCTAATTAGTGTAAGATTAGTAATATCTGCTGGGTTCATGTGATCTGGGCTTACCTCAGAGAAAAAGAGGTTTCATTAGTTTTGACAACTGCTGTTGTGAGTCCTTCTGACTGGCACCACCTGCCTTGGCCTGCGTCATCCTGGTCTGTTTGAAGGACACTTGATTGATCAAAGCTTGTGCACACCCCACTGTCACACCAGAGAGATGACTGATCTTGACAGATTCCCCTGCCATTCTGTCTGTGATAGAAGCTCACCTACAGGGTTTGGGAAAATATAAGCATTTGTAGCGAGTAGAAAGAAGACTGTAGAATTTCCTCAGTGAAATCCAGAAAATGGGATGAAAAGAAAACCCATATAAATTGATACAGTCAGTCTGAATGTTTGCCTCAAATTTGTGCAAGTCATTAAATATTTTGTAGATGATAGTCACGCAGGTGCCTCACAAGCTGAGGCGCACGTCTTCAACTCTAGTACATGTCTCTGGTTCAGTTGATCAGTAAAATTGGACTGCCATTTTGCCTGCTATTTTAGAAATTACAGACTCATATCTGTGATTCTAATGGAGCTTGGTCTGGCAAAAATAATATTTACCAACAGCATAAATTTATAGTGAAATAAGACCTCGCAAAAGACTGGCATACCTCCAATGTTATGATTCATTTTGCATGCTCTTTTTTATAAAAGTATGACAAATATAAAAATGTAACAAAGATAATAACTGAAATACTGTACCGCAAATGTCCCATCGCTCTTCTCTTGTAGAGGCATAAAACTAGTACTATCTCCATAAAAGCTGAGAGCTGAAGTAGTCCCCAGCAGTGCGAACAGCAGCAGGAGAATGGTACCTTCCTTCATGATGTCTGACGGAATCTGTTTGTGCAATATCTTGTTCAGTCAGGTTCAATTTCAGAGATGGGAGAGGCAAATCCTTTTGAATTCACCCAACAGGACTAACCAGATCTGGAGTGAACTATAACTATTTATGGCATTTATAAGACTCTTCAACCTCTTTAACTGATCCACAGTAAGAACTGAGTCTAAGTTCAAAGACATTATGATATTTGTTTGATATGGACTTTAATATACTGGTTTTGGTTATAGCTTCCAGGTAAGGAGGTGATTTTCTAAGGCATTTAGAGAGGATCATGTAACACTCTTTTGGTGCCATTATTGTTTTCACCATGTCTTGTCTTCTAAATGAGGGAAATAAATGTAGTGAAGTAAAAAGTACAATACTTGCCTCAAAATAAACGTAGTAGCCTACCATAAGTATTCCATTCCACCAAGGACCGGGAAGAAAAGTAAACAAATATATGAACATACATTTACTCCTCATTTGTAATTTCTATGGCTTATCTTAAGGATACTGAAAGCACATTTTCCTTATCAGCTTCTGTCCTACATGACTATTGTGCTAAAGTTAGAACAGTTTTAAGTACAGATTTCTGTATTTCTTTGTTTGCGTGTGTGGTTTTTTTTTTTTTTTACCATAATGTGGTAGTATTTATGGTAGCATTTAAAAAATATGGTTTTTAAACCTAACCTTGACTGGTTATATAGCAAAATATTTACCCTTGCAGAAAACTACTTCAGATGTTAAATGACAAGTTCAAAGATTTTAGGGGCATAATGTTATTCCCTATGTACATACATATCTTTCAGAAACATATTATAAATATATATTAATGTATAAATGTATAAATATTAGATAATATATAGATTATTTTATTCTTCTTCAGATACAGTAAATGTAACAGCTTTCTAGTGTCATATTCTGCCCGTACAAAATTTTGCACAGCTAAGGTCAGACATTCACAAAAGTAATAGGGTAATCATAGGGAAGGGGGCTTTAATATATAGGTGTAAAAAAACAAACACACATAGAAAACAAAGCAAATGTTTATTAGACTGTGTACCTAACATTTCACTTTAAAGTCATAACTTCATTGCCATCATAAAAGGTTTTACGCGGTACTGCGATGATCACCGATGACTTTCGCCTTTGTTAGATTTGAAGCACACGAGGACCCGTATTGTCGTCAGTATATGGAAATTGTCAGAGTGGCAAGATGGCTACGGAACCAAATAAGACTGAGATCCTCACCATTTTCAAAAGATTAAGATCTATTCCTACAAACAAGGTAATGGAAGAAGACGCGGCCACTGTTCGTGTATCATCCTTTGAACATTTCTCTGTTGGCAGATAGTCCGTTAGCTGGCTGGTTAACTTTTTCCTGCCTCGTAGCTAGGCCCGGCTAGCTACACGGTCAGGCAGCTGATAGAAGCTAACGATTGCTAGCCTGCCGGTAAAGCAGTCAAACATGAAGGCCACGTCTACGATTTGTGTATGCTGAGGAAGCTAACCAGTTAACCTACGTTGCGCTTGGGAAATAAAAAAAAGAGAATTGTTTAATAGACTAGAATAAGATCTAGAAATCCAAACTATGGTTCACCATTTAGTAAAGATAGTAACGTTAACGTACATATTTGTAGTATGATTATTGAGCCATATGTCGCTAAAGCTACCAGCGTCTGATATACAGTAACTTAACAGGATATTTGGCAGGACTGTCGAAGCCATATGGTCAGTTTTATTTATATGTTGGCACTTGACTGTGGGTTTTTATCAAAGCTGATTTAAAATGAAGTAATAATGAGAAATGTCACCGTTGTATTACCACTCTAGGCCTTGGTATAATGTGGTTTGGCATTATGAATTAGACTGGCACCATATGTCTCATACAGCAATCTTGTATGTTCCATCTCTTTATCTGCGACCCTAAAGAAAAAAAACAAAGCCAGAATGATTTAGAGGCTCTTATACCTGACAACACTAGAGCTGCAACTAATGGTTTTCATTGTCCATTAATCTGCTAGTAAGTGTTTACCCTACATGTAAAGTCAAAATACAAAAAAAACAACAGGTCAGTTTGTGATAATAAAAGTAGTATGCATCTACTCTTCTCAAATGTTCTTTGTTTAAAATCTCAATTTTTGTGAAAAATCGGTCTTCTTTATGTAAACTGAGAAACATGAATCCTTCTTATGTGGCTCTTGCCAGGGTTTCTCTCTCTCATAAAATTTGTTTTATGGGGTTGTTTATTCTTCAGTCAGAAGGCAGATGTTGTTTGTTGTTCAAGCTGTTAAAAGCTGTCAGAGACACATTTCTAAATTTCTTCTAAATAATCCTTAGTTGCAGCCCTAATAAAGATATATTTGACTTGACGACATTCCTGCCAGCACCTTTTGAAAATTTGTCTGAGATAAACAAGATGCTGGGGCTACATCACCAGCCTACTTTTACTTCACTGAAACAGACTGACAACAACATAGAATGGAAGAAAACATAAAGCACTGGCACCACACATGTACACTACTTCACTGACATGCTGATCACAAAACAGCTCACCAGAAGATGTTATCGTGTGGTGTAATTGCCTTCTGATGTTGGGTGCTTATAGATCTCATTAAAGTTGTCCCATTAACGATAGTTTTCGTGTACCTGCTGTTTCTTTCCAGGCATGTTTTGACTGCGCAGCAAAAAACCCCAGCTGGGCAAGTATTCCCTATGGTGTGTTCTTGTGCATCGACTGCTCGGGCATCCACCGTTCTCTGGGAGTACACCTCAGCTTCATCAGGTAGGCTCAGCAAAGACTGTGGCTGTCAACACCTAATTTTGTTTTACTAGTAGTTGGACAGCCTAAGAGAAAAGTATGTGAATTAGCTCTTCTAACAGAGCATAAACCTGCTCTTAGTGACCAGTAGTGCTACAATCATGTGTACTTGTACTGGAGTGCTTACTTTCCTTATTCTTCCCTTTTCCTCTTAGATCCACTGAGTTAGACTCCAACTGGAACTGGTTCCAGCTTAGATGTATGCAGGTTGGAGGCAATGCCAGTGCGGTAAGTCAGACTGATCACTTTGTGAAAAACAGATGTTCCCCCTGAACTGAAGTCAGTTAAAAACCAGATTTGGGATCTTTCATGTGAATAACCTGTGTTCTAGTTAGTGTAACTACCTAGTACAGCGGGGACAGGTTTTTGTGGATTTTCACATGGTGCAATAAATCTTGTCATTTATTCTGTGTGAAGACGGCATTCTTCCGCCAGCATGGCTGCTCCACAAATGACACCAATGCCAAGTATAACAGTCGTGCAGCCCAGATGTACAGGGAGAAGATTCGACAGCAGGCAAATGCTGCTCTGTCCACATATGGCACAGACGTGAGTATTAATGAAGTGGAGACAGTTTGTCCAGTGTATCGTATCTTGTATCCTAGATCATGACAGATTATAATTCCAGTATTGCATTTTTGGCCACATTTCTGCATTGATATAGTCAGCAGCGACTGTCAGGCTGTATTGCTGGTAAAGATACAGTGCTGATGCCTTTTTCTGTTAACTGTATGCTTCCAGTCACCATAAGTCTGCACTTTCAGCTTTAATAAATGATTTTTCAGTCATGAATTTATTTCAGGCTGATTTTAGCTCAAAGAAATGTCCAATTCATCTGACAGAACATACCTGACTTTAATAATCATCAGTGGAAAAATAGCATGTTAGTTTAGTGAAGACAGTCTCAGACAGAGGACAAAGTCACACTGAATAAACCTGCACTCAACCCTGGAAAGTTCAGTACAGTCTAGGGGTATGCTAAGGTGCCTGTATTTTTTTATGGCACACAAACATCCCCTCCCTTATCTATTTTGTCCTTTCAAACTAAACACAAAAAAGTATCTTTACAAAATACGCATTAGAAGTTTATGATAACTGAGTGGCAACTTTTCTGATTTCACATTTCAAATCGGGTGAAATTTTTACATTGCATATGTGATTGTTGACTGTTATGTCTCTCACTTAGCCACACCGAACTCTGGTCCAGTTCATGTGATATGTTAGCTAATAGCTACACACAACCTGATTAAATGGTTTTTGTTTTTAATTTTGCACCCCACAGGCACAAACTCACTCAGTGGTAGTAACAGAAATCGGCTGCTGTGCTGTGGAGTGTTGAGATATTATGTAAGAGTGGTGAAGTCATTATCTGTATCTGAGTTGTGTTGGCAAATCCTGTTCAGAGTCCACAGAGTGTGCACTAATCACAGTGTGTGATGATCACATTATCGGCAGTATTCCAAAAAACTAGAAGTCAAAAACGTAAACCTCTGTGAACATAGTTAGACTTCGAGACACGGAGACAATTTTAACTAACGAGCACTCTTCCTGTCCTCGATGCAGCTGTGGATCGACTCTTCTGTGGGAGGCACTCCCGCAGGCTCTGAGAAGAAAGAGGCAGACTTCTTTTCTGAACATACAGAGGTTTGTGTTTTTGCAAACATGACCTGCTGCAACAAATAAATGTGTTGGAGGAAATGTTGGCCACATATCTGGGCACTGTCATTTTTCAATAGGAATATTTTTTTATTTTACAAGAGCCTGATGAATAACGGGCTTTTTGAGGTTGCTCACTGTATGGATGTTTGTGTTAAAAGACATTTCTATAATATATAGTTTACTATTTATTTTTAGATTTTTCACATCCCTTCATTTGGTTTTCAACAGACATGGGAGTTTGTTAGACATTCAGTTTAACATCATCAATGACAAAGATGAAGGCCTCACATTTGAGAAACTGACAGCAACAACACTGACATTTGTGTTTAATAAAAGATTAAAACAATCATTTATCAGAGTACTTGCTGATTAATTTTTTTTTGTTGAGCGGTCAGCGGCTAATGGATTTGGAATCTAAAAGCTGTAATTTACATATGGTTTATGTTTTCAGCTTGCTAACGACTGGAGCATGCCACGGTCCTCCGAGATGGAGCAGAATGGAGCCAGTGTCACCCCACATCTGACAGACATGGCACCCAAAGGCCAGGATGATAACCGTTAGTAAAACAAACCTATATATTTATCTGTCATGAGGAGTACTACTCAGCTGTGTAAGCACTTTATTAAGGCTTCTGAAGGGAGCTTCCCAAAGCCTAAGACACTAACCCCAATGATATCAGCCTCATGCGAGTTCCCAGCTTTATCAAAGAGTAATATTAAATCACTGGGGTGCTGCTTTAAAGTTTAATTGAATTAAATTGACCTCCACGGTCTGTGCTTTGAATAAACATAACGGGGAATTTATTTCTACAGACATGCTGTTATCAAATTGAATTAAAACACAAGTATCATTTGGAGATGGCACTGTGGAATGTTGCTGTGTTTTGTTGCTTTAGCTGTTTTTATATGTGTGTGTGTGTGTGTGTGTGTGTGTGTGTGTGTGTGTGTGTTTTTTTTTCTCAGAGCTGGAGGAAGGACCCAGCATCGATGGTCTAAGCACATCACCCAAAGCCTCCATTGGTGAGCCACTCAGCTTTCTTTATCCCCTATGTGTAAAGGCACAAGCATTGTTCTCTGATGTCAGAACCTCAGCGTTGTCATTAGCAGTTTCATTTCTGTTGCTTGACATTGGTGCTCATTCAGTGGGTAGTATATCCTTGCATCCGTCTGGCTCTACAGTTTCATATCTCTTTCAGTTTCTGGATCTTTGTCTGTGTATGTTTATTTATACAAACTGTTTTACTCTCTCCATAGTACTGTGTATAATAGCGTAGTAGGGAGATTTTCACTACAGAAACATTTTCCAATAAGGTTATCTACAGTAAGTCAAACAGAGTTGCACGATGAGTCACATCCTTGAGTACTTTGGGTGCAGGGTAGATATTATCTGCACAAAGACCGACAAAACAGCTACTCACAGCTTGCACGGTTCTACATTGGTTTTTGCTCTATTTAGACATAATTAACTTCTACAGAACACCATTTAAGGTCAATACATTTCCACCTATGTCTGCATCATATTTAAAGAAGAGTTGGAAACAAGCAAGAAAAATCTGCAGGGATTTCTATCTCTTTAGTTTGTCTTTACGCTCATGAACATGTTCTGTGTCTCATTTATTTCCAGGGTACTTAAAAGGGTTTCAAGAAATTAGGGTTGAGACTAAGGATTATGTTCATTATCAGTTAATCTGTTGATCTTTCTCCTAATTAATAGGAATTGAGATGACCTTAATCATACGGCATATTTCATACAAAAAGTGGTTGCAGGAAATAGGAGCACTAAAAACAACTGAGGATTTAAAGAAATAGGCCACCGATTTCCGTTTTCTTGGCTGATTCCTGTTTTCTTTCTAGGAACTGTAATTTTTACAGTCCTCCAACTAAAAACGATGTGCAACATATGTACTGTATTTATCTAAATATGAATGAGTGCCACAGGTAATAGAAACAGAAGAATGTCTGTTACTACTGAGCACACAGTTCTTTTTGGAGTATGTGCGGTTTGTATTTGCTGTTTTACCACGGGTTGGATACACTGTACATGCATTTCATATTTAGCCAGTAGTTGTCTCATTGTGTACTGTTTGTCAGAGATTTGGACGTAGTTTTCCTTCTCCAAAGTGTTTCTGTGTGCTCCTCTGTGCACTGTTTGTACACCAAGCGCTTCTGATGCGATTGAACACTTGCCCCGGTATAGACACCCGCACAAGCGTCGCTTGAGGTGCATGTAAGATGCTACATGCTGCACCTGCTGTGTTTTTTGTCTGTACCACTATGTGCGCAGCGTGGACTGTCATACCTCTAAATCTGATCATGGCATAGAATCAAATATCTCAGAGTGATCGTCCGTTCGCGGAGCATGCTGAAAACCGGCCATTTCCAATCTAATAAAAAAGAACCGCTTTTAAAAATAAATCTTTTTTTATGTTTTTATGCTTATTACCTTATTTTACTCTCTTCATTTTGGTGTGATGTGACTTTGGTTTCTGTTGCTACTGGATACCTGAATTTCCCTCAGAATCAATAAAGTATCTGTCTTATCTAATCTATCTTCAACATATTTGCTAATTGTGTTGTTTACTAATCCATACAGTCATCAACAGTATCAGTGACGCACGTCCAACCAACAGTGCATTCATAATCTAGTTTGGGCTCAAGCCCTGTTGAGAGAGAGCATTATGATTATGAAATTCAGGTTCTTCTCTCTCGATTATGATCGTAATAATTGGTTTGTCCTGCCCTGTAGACGACTCCATGCGTTTGTCATCACAGGAAGAATGGACGCCCGGAGGTGATTAGTGTTACCATAGTTCTTTGCACTGGCTAGTATATGCCTAAGTTGCATGGTTATGCTGCTTGACTCACATCAGCCCCCTTCGAATTCTTCTTCTCTGCTTATCACGCAATAGAAATGTCTCACTTAGCAGAGCTTGTGTTGGTTGAATGCTATTTCTGGTTAGAACCTGCTGTTAAACCGGTTGTGCTTTGACAACGTAAAGCGTGTTCTTCTCAGTTAGAAAAGGCTAACAAATAAAAGGAGCCTTTGTCAAATTGTCTGACATATATGCACGTAATCGGTGCATGGATGAGAATTTTACTATTAGCATTTCAGATGCAGCATGTGGACATTGGTGTCATAAGTCAGAAGGTAATAGTTCACTGACACGATAGTCTGATGTGTCTGGGAAAAAAAAATTCTACAGCGTTGGTAATCTTTCATAAGTCCTCATCAGTGTGTTCATTTTCTTGCTGGCAAAAACTAACAGTGTTAAGACAGCCTGGCAGTTTTCATCTTCCTATCATGCAAAAAATGTGAAGTAGCTGAGTCACTGCCTGGCAGGTCTGTGAAATCAAGGTCAGATCAGTTTTAAATGGTGCTCTGGCTTACACTGCACTGGATTTGATAGGAATTAACTATGATAACCCACTTTGTGCTGAGCTTGTATTTAAAGTGATGGCTCACTTTCCTGAGCTGTGTGTTTGTCTCGCTTTGATTTCAGCTCAAGTAAAGAGTTGTAGAAAAAAATGTCTTGACAGACTGCTAATTGTGTTACAGATGTGATACCTTCCATCATTGGAAAAAAGAAGCCAATGGCTGCCAAAAAAGGGGTGAGTCATATTTTCACCAAACTCACAAGCCTTGTATTTAAGGAGTTCCCATACTTGATGGTCACTTTGTTCACAAGGAAGAAAGACAGCATGAAGCCATTAACACAAAGGTACAGGAAAGCTGTAAAAACATGTAGCTTCATTAGTTTGGGACACTGCTTAAAAACAGACGCGTTGAATAGCCTCTCAGGAGTGCAGATATTCCCCTGTAAAGTTTTTGAGCTAGCTCATTCTAACCAATCCCAGCTGTCGTTGGGTGAGAGGCTTGGTACACCCTGGACAGGACGCCGGTCTGTCATAAGGCCGACATGTAGACAAATATACACGCACAGTCATGTTCACTCCTATGGGCAATTTAGTGTCTCCAGTTAACCTAAGCTGCATGTCTTTGGACTGTGGGAGCATCTATACCACTTATCCTGAAGGGGGTGCATTCTGCACAGTAAAGCTCGAATATCATAGTAAAGGATTATAGATGGCGTCGCAGATGGCTGCTCCGGTTCTCTACCGGAAACAAATTCCTTGTGTGTATGTGTAACATACTTGGCCAAATTAAGGTGATTATCCTTATTATAAAGGAAATACAGTTTTGATATCTAACTCGTATCACACTTTCCCACATTGATGCAGCTTGGTGCAAAGAAAGGTCTTGGTGCACAGAAGGTGAGCAGTAAGAGTTTCTCTGAGGTGGAGAAACAGGCTCAGGTGGCTGAAAAGCTCAGAGAAGAGCGGGCTGCTGAGGCAAAGAAAGAAGCTGAGGAATCCATGTAAGGAATCCAACAAGATCATTTTATCTAATTCCATTTTGCACTATTCAAAATAAGAGATAAATGCACTGTATTCATAACAGTGCAATAGTAAAAGTGTCAAATGCTCAACCTTTGTCCTTTGTTTGGTTTTTGCAGTGTGGCCTCAATGCGTTTGGCTTACAAAGAACTTGAGATCAACAGGAAGATGGAGGAGAAGAAGCTTCAGAACTTAGAAGGAAAGAAGAGAGAGCAGGCTGAGAGATTGGGCATGGGCTTCGGAAACAGGAGGTAACATTGTAAGACAAACATTTGGCCGTTATCATCCAGAAATCTGTAGTCTTCTGAGGAAAGCCTTGTCACATAGTGTCTGATGACTAGGGGATGCACAGACTTCAACAGGTCCAGTGACCGTATGAACTCATTAGTGTGGCACAATATTGTTTTTTTATTTATTTATTTTTTATTACATCATCAGTGACTATTCGGTGTCAACTCAACTTTCATAATAAAAATGTTGACTAACAAATTGGAGGTTGTGCAGGCCCTACTGATGAAGCGGCTTCCTTTTATCAGCTGTCATTAAAAGGACTAATGGCTGTCTTAATATAGGATACCTTATGTTTGGCTCATGAAGCTGATGCTTGAATGGTAGCATATGTGTAATCATCGCAAAAGTGTTGTTTAAATGTACGTTTCCTGTTGCAGTGTTGTGTCTCACTCAGTGATGTCAGAGATGCAAGTGATTGAACAAGAAACCCCTGTGGGAGCCAAGTCTTCATCTCGCTCCAAACTGGACATGTTTGATGAGCCAGGTTTCACTTCTGGGCCCCCAAAGTATGTGCTGCACTTCTAATGACATCCTCTTATTTGTCTGTCCTGCTGTTTGCTTTTATAAGTGAATCAGAAATGAAGATGGAGGAGAGAAAACTGAATGGTCTGATGTTGAACCTGTGGCTCACTGAACTAAATCCATTGTGTTTATGTTTCAGGTATAAGGACAACCCATTTTCAGTGGGAGACAGTTTTGGTTCCCGGTGGGACACTGAGGGAGGGACTGCCTCCTTTACCACCTCCTGGGCTCTGGAGAAAGAGGATCCCAAAGAAGAGGTTACCATCTCTAGTATTCAGCCATATGGAGAGAGGTACATACACAGACGTTAATGCACATGTATACACACACACACACACACACACACACGCTCATTCTTCTAAAAAACATACATAAATAAAAGAGTAGTGTTTACTGGACTGGGTGCAGATCTGATGTGCGGTATTGTATTTAAACCAGACTTCCCAGCAGAAGAAAAGCTGAGGTATCAGCTCCAGTGTCCGAGTCGAGTGAGGCCAGGCAGAAGTTTGCCAATGCAAAGGCGATCTCTTCAGACATGTTCTTTGGTCGGGAGAGCAGAGCGGAGGTGAGGACTCTGGTTTCAGTTTAAAACCAAAACTAAAACTAGTACCACGTTTGTAAAAATGTGCACAGTTCATGTGTTTCTAACTGTTGTTTCCTCTTCAGTATGAGGCAAAGACAAGGCTGGAGAGCATGTCTGGAAGCACCTCCATCAGTTCAGCTGACCTGTTTGGGGATGGTAGTGACCCCAAAGGTAAGATCTTTTTTTGTTTGGCATGAAGGCACTAAAAGAACACTTCAGCAGAAGTAAAATTAATACAATGTGGAAAAAAAGCCAGTGGTTTGTGTGTGTGTGTGTGTGTGTGTGTGTGTGTGTGTGTGTGTGAGAGAGAGAGAGAGAATCACATTTAAAAGACCAAAACTCACACTGTCTTAGGTGGTGTCCGTGGTGCTCAGCCCTAAGTCTGTCAGTTTCTACTGAAGATATTTTTAAATATGGCTCACAAATATGTAGTTTTATTTTTATTTTATGATAACGGTAATGAAGGAACATGTCACCACTGAATAGTGTGGCTCACTGATGTGTTTTTTATGGAACAGAGGAATAGGATGTACCAGATTTGGATGTAGACACACACAGTACTGTTGGTTTTGTGCTTTAAAGGAATTTGTTGATCAGAAGAAGAATATTGGGTATTGGCACCCTTATCCTCTTATTCCTAGGTATTAGTCTGTCCAAATTAATGTTTAATTTGTTCCCCACTGATTGCCTTTATACGTTGTGTGTACCGTATCACACCATCTTTCATGGACTGCTAAAATACAGGTGAAACAGAAAACAAATGTTATGCACAGCATTAAAGTAACTGTGTGTGGCTGTAGGCCTTTTGTACTAATCCTGGTTCTCCTCTCAGAGAGGGCATCAGGATTTGATAGTGTGCTCCCCTCCGGCCCAGATATTGCACAGTTCAAACAGGGAGTGAAGACTGTAGCAGGCAAGATGGCCGTCCTTGCCAACGGGGTCATGCATACGATCCAGGTAAGTATAAGGGCCGTCATTTTTCATTCGAATTTCTGGGATGATGCCAAAGACAGTTACAAGTGAATATGAAAACAATCTCTAAAGTTATTGCATATAAAAATGACTGTAAAACTATTCTGCTACAAGTAGAAGTCCTGCATTCAAAGTGTTAAGTAAAAGTACAAAAGTATTAGCATCAAAATATACTTAGAGTACAAAAAGTAAAAGTCCTCATTATGCAGAATGGCACATTGTGTATTATATTACTGGATTATAATTAGTGATGTGTTAGTGTTGCAGCTGGTAAAGGCGGAGCTCATTTTAACCACCACATATACAGTACTTATAGTTTGAAGTACCTTACATACTGTGGGATAGCTTGTAAATTAACCACCGGGGATCAGTTAAGTCTTATGATTATACTGTATTTTGTTTAATTAATCTCATTCTGAAAAGTAACTAGTAACTAAAGTTATCAAATGAATGTAGTGAGTAAAAAGTACACATTTTTGTATGAAGTAACAGAAGTATGAAATAATAAGCACATACTAAAAAATTGTACTTAAGTACAGTACTTGAGTAAATGTACATAGTGTCTATCTCTGCTAATAATAACCAGGTCACAGCTAGAGGTCGGGGGGCTGAGGTTGCGAGGAACCACAAAATGACCTGCTAAAGCACAATTGTATGACATTGTAGAAACTGGAGAAATGATTGGGCTTCATTAGCCTCTTCCCAAGTGTTTACTCATTTTTCTGTATCATTTTCTCAGGATCGCTACGGCTCCTACTGAGCAGACTGAGAGACTAGCACTAACCTGTGGGAAGACGTACTAACGCCTGTGTGGAGTCAACCAGCCTCCTTTCTGACACGTGCATTTGGGCCAAGGAGAAGGGATGGAGACGGGAGGCAGAAAGAATTGCATGGGGAACAGAAATGGTCCTTCTCACGTATCCTTCTTTCAGAGACAGTTTTACAGGAGTGAGACAGTATTTTTCATCTCATTCTCATTTGCAGACTCTTGAGTTTTATTGACATACAGGAAACCATCAGAGGGAGTAGTTGTTGTTTTTTTGTTTTGTTTTGTTTTTTTAAACCAAGAGTTTTGTTGTAATTACTGTCAAGAATTTTTTGGTCTTAGATTTTCAAAATGTTTGAGTTCATTCTACTATATTTTATTTCTTATTCATAAATCAAAGTGTTATTTTGATTCACATGATCAGATCCTTTGTTTTTTTGCTTTGTCTTACAGTATATATTTTCAACTTTTGAAGAAAATCCACACTATTCATTGTTTGAGTCACTGCCGCCCATTTACAGTA